CAACATATTTCACTGATGAATTCTGATGACACAAGTTCATTGGTGACACATATCAAGTTAAAGTTTTCCAAATTTTCTTATATATTTACCATTTTATTAGGGGGTATATTTGAGCAGAAAAGTTTTCATTTATACAAGTTTGGTTGAAGTCTAACAAAGGCTAAGGATACTTGTATTTATTTTTTTCTATATTTTAGACTATTTTTCTGGCTTCAGGCACATATTTAAATATAAATTGTTCAATGTCTGATTACCTTTGGCTTTTATAAGCCATTATCAAGGCAATTTTGGTTTTTGTGCTATGTCAATTTCATCATTTTTCAAATGTTATGTCTTATGTTAGTTTTTTTAAAGTATTGTGGCTCGACATAATATTTATGTTATTGTATCTTTTTTTATTTATGAAATATATATATTTGTTCCTGACAACATGAACTCTTATGTGAAGATGCAATACTTTAAAAAAACAACATGCTAAAATGAAGACATGATATTTGAAAAATGATGAAACTAACATAGCACAAAAACAAGAAAGAATTTGTAAGAACATGTGAGCAATGTGGAAGTATTATGAAAAATTGGAACAAAAAGGAGTTTTGTTCTTAGAATTAGAGACAGATGAAATTTGAAGCACACATAATATAGAAAGATGGCTTGGAGAATTTGACACTAACAGGATATATAGAAGGAAAGAGGGGCAGAGGAAAACATCAAGTAACTTACCTAACAAGCTTGTGTAAATGGATGGCAGAACAGAGGTTTAGAGATAGTAAGGAGACAAACATTGTTTAGAACTACAAAGGAAAGGAAGTTGTGGCGAGCCATGATCGCTCATATCCTGAAGAGGCATAGCACATCAAAAAAAGGGAATTTATGTTGATTGAGAATAAATACAGTATGAGATTTAAAAATAAATGAAAAGCAGTAATTAAATAGAAAGTTTTACTAGAATATAAACATTAAGAAATAACCTACCTTGATATGCCCTTGAGATAACAAAAACCAATAGTGGGGAAAAAATCCATACAAAGTTGGTTTATATATATTTTTATTTATTGACATATACATATGCATGTTAAATACACACATCTATATATACATACTGCCAGACATGCTACACATATACCCATTCATCCATATATGATTATAGAAATTGTTACATGATTTTATGAGGTATACAATTTGCATTTACAATTGCTGCTAGATCTAATCATTCAAACCTTTACTGAATATGGTAAAAAATAAGACATTTATTAAAAAGAAATGAAATATTTTAAAACGATGAAAATGGCCATTTTTTATAGCCAAAAATTCAACAAGAAAGTTTAAATGTTTAGCGAAAAAGCAAATCTCATCAATGTGACTCAATGTTATTTGTTTCTTTTTAAATAAAAATATTTTTGGTACAGTTTCAGATCTGTAGGTTATTCTGAATACATATTGTAATTATGTAACAATAAACTCATTAATTTCAAAATACAAGAGATTTACAAACGATAAGGATCTATTTGTTTATTTATCACCAATAAAACTTTAGACATCATTTATATTCTTTTCGAGGATGAAGAAAATAAAAAAATATTTTGTGGCAGCATGCTCACATAATCAAACATACCTTATTTGATATTTAATGCAGCATCTAACAGACATGTCATTTAATTGATTCAATTTTAAGTTCTTACTGAAATTCATCAGTATTGTTTTCAACATGTTTTTTTAAAGATGTCAACAAAACTATATTACCAAAAGTTTGAAATAAATATTTATATGATAAAAGGAAAAAAAAACTCTTTTAGACTTTATGTATTTCTGATTACATTTTATATTTTTATATGGGCAAATTTCAACCCATCATGCAATGCAACATAATTTTTAAAAGACTGTATGCTATCCATCACCATTAAAATAAAAACTGAAGTTTTTGCTTCTTTCTTTAAATAAAACAAACTTCTTTGAGGAGGAAAACACACTTGACATTTGAAAAACACGGAATATACAAAAGAAATATTAAACTAAATAATGAAACTTATAAATTATAGTTCGCTTGAAGATGAAGCAGAACTAATGCTTTTAATTTAATTATATAATTAAATTTGAAGTTTTTAGCTTCAGTTTTTGAAACACGGTTATTACTGTGTAGCAAAGAAACTATATTTTAAATTAGTTAATTTATAATAAATTATAGTGTATAAATGTTCTTTCTTCTTTTTTTTAAGGTATTCATTTTGTTGTTATATTCAAAGCATTTTTTATGGATTAAACTTAATTTATGACAAATTTTTATTTGGGAATTCTTCATTGGGAGCTGCATTGATCTTTCCACATCATATCCTATTTCCTTTTCAACTAAATTGACCAGTTTTTACAAATTGGCAGCCCCAGAGGCTAAAAATTAACTGCCAGCCAGAATCTTTATTCCTGTGACCATTTTCCCTGGTGGCGAGGATGCTAGTTCAGATAATTTACAGAATAATAATATCCCATATCAGAACTGCAAACAATTAACATAATTGCAGTTTTATATCACAAACTTTTGAAAAACGTATCTGTGACTTTTCTATAAATACTTTCATGGTAATGACTCAGATGAGCTTCCCTCTTCTGCACCTCAGCTTCACAAATTTAAGTGCAGTACTAGATTGGTAGCTAGGTCTCATAATTTCACTGGTGAAATTGTTAGATGTTAAAGTTGTATGCTAACAGTTTCTTATCTCGTGCTTTTCGCTTGTGAAACTTTCTTCCAGCTTATTGCTTTCCTGTCAACCATGATCTTCAAATATTTAAATGTAACATCAATTATCATCTTCTATCTCTTTGAATCCTGTTATTTATTATATTATTTCAGTTTCTTTCACTCTCAGCAACCCCTTGCAACTTAGCGTGTTTTATCACCTTGCTTGGGATGAAATGATAAAAAAAATAAGTAAATGAAATAATGTTTTGTTTATAGACAAAAGAAAGAATAAATTACTTTAAAAGATATAATCAGATTATCATTATCCTTAATAAACCTTATACTTCCAATAAGTTACCAACTAACAACATAACATTATAAATTGCGGAAGAGTTTTGTATTTAATCAAAATAATTTAATCAAAGTCAAAACTTCACATAAAAATATTCAAATAAAGTCATGTTTTATAAAAGATTATATTAATATATATTTAAGTATTGAACTGTATATACAAAGAAGAAAACTGGTAGTTTGGAATGAAATGACCACAGAACCAAACAAATATTTATAAAATAAGCAGCTTATGTCAGGAATTTTTTAGTGATAAAGTCATTTTAGTTTTAAAATCAGTGATAACTCCTTTAAAGGAAAAGAATTTTGAATGAGTAAATAAAACTGAAACATCATTATCTTGAAGATGATACAAACCTAATAGCAGCAGCAGCAGTGGTTTCAAAACATACCTAAGCTCTGTATTTCTATAATGTTTGTTGGAAATTGTTTTGATGTTGGCTTATGTCAAATCAATTATTGTTTTAATAGCATTTCCCTCACTTTGATATGATCTCATTTTATAGTGTAACAAATTTTATTATATATCTATGAAAGATGAAGAATGATAAAAATCTTACTCATGAGATAAATAAGTAAAACCTTAAAACTGAAAAAAAAAAACAAAAAAAACTTATAAAACTGACCCGGTTTTTAGTGAAAAGTTTTTTTTCAGAATCATTTTTTAACAGTATGTAGCTGTTTGGCTTTGCTTCTGAATAATTTTGACAAGCTCTCAATATTATGATGATGTGTGAATTTTCACATTATAGAATGAGGGATTCACAGTATGGAGAGATTATTTTGGAACAACATGCTCATAATTATCTCCAAAAATTTTAATTAGTCTATCACAGATCTTATTGTCAAGCATGTCTCACTTGTGATGAGTATAGAGTTCAAAATTCATTCTTTTTTTCTTTTATTTTTATGTTGGCATTTAGCTAATGTATGATCATTACCATATTAGGAAATGTGAGCACTAGATAAAATTCAATTATACAAACATTTTACAAGCCAATTGAATGGATTGGCTTTGCCAAATTGTAGCATATGGGCTTCATTTAGCTGATAGGAATGTTCACGTTCTGTTTGGGTAAGAATTAAAAATGATTTTCGGTTATTTGTGAAAAGTTTTCAAAACAGCAGTATTGATTTTGGTAGGAAGTGCTGAGTGAATGAGAAAAGACCCAAATTATCCATTCGGAATGAGAGATGTGCTGATAAAGTGAATTATTAAAGTTTTTTAATGCTTTGAATTAACCACTCAAAATAAAGTAAGATATTCATGTTGCCCAGTCAAAAAAGGTTTCACCACTGAAAGTGGTTATCTCAGAAACCAAAACTAGACAGTTTTTTTTTTTTAACTCATCAGGTACTCAGAAATATGAGAAGAGCAGTTATTTCACATTAGATGTTTCAAAAGAGGTCTTGCTTGCTTTGGTTAGGCTACTACACCTCTCTAACGAGGAGTGTTTGTCTCAATTCCTGTTGTGCAAACCATCAGAAGGACTTACCATATAACTTGGAATAAAGAACAATATACTGTGAAAGGAAATGAATGTCTTTTGTCCTAATGCTCTAATAAGAGTAGTGAAATTCTTTTACTACATAACTTTTCAACTAATTTAAGATTTATTTTTCTTGATAAAGTAAAGCAAAAAGAAAATTAACCTGACTCTGTAGTCACAAAATATGTTTAGGTATCATTTTTAACTGTTTTTAAAAATTTCCTTCTTTATAAAGCTCATATTTAGTTTACTACAAATCCCTAAATCAACAAATTTTTCAGGTTTATCCATGATAAGAGAATAGACATATATTAACCTTTTTACCAATTTGAAATGAAATTAAAACGGTGAGAAAAATTTTCAACAATTAAAAATATAAACAGATAAAAACGATAGAAGTTTTAGCATAAAGTGAAGAAAAAATAGGATGATTAGCACAAGAGATCAATATAACCATCAGTTAATATAAAAAGTAAAGTGTGTTTTTATATTCTGTCATCGTCATCATCGTCATCATCATCATCATCATCATCGTCATCATCATCATCATCACTGTCATCATCATCGTCATCATCATCATCTTCCTCCTCTTCCTCCTCTTCACTCTCTGGTTGGTTATTCACAACAGGAATTTCTTGTTTGACAACTTTGGCAACCTTGGGAGGTGGAACTACAACTTCTTCCTCTTTTTCTTCTTCTTCCTCTTCATCTTCACTTGGTGGTTTTGGAGGTGACTTTTCAACAACTAAAGCTTCCTTTGCTTGTTGGCTCTTAAAAATGGCCATCTCCTGCAAATAGGAAATTCATTCAAGAAAATACGCTGACAGCCAAAAACATGAAAAAATAATATATCAAAAAAATGATTTTTTTTGCCTGTTGACAGCAGTATATGAAAATAGGTAACATCAGAAATGTGAAATGATATTAGTTTTATCAAGTTGCTATGAAGTGTAATGCGTGTTGACTGCACTGTCTTTCTCTCTCTCTTTCTATATATATATATATATATATATATATATATATATATATATATATATATACACACACAATAAATTAATAAATATTGTTGATCTAGTTAACTATTGAGCACAATTCTGCTAGTTTTAAATACATTAAATTCTGGTCATTTTTATGTATTTTGATTATAACACAAAAGCACCTATCTATACACACAGTGTAGACATAGGAATGAACACTGTATGGTGACTGTCTGTTTTATGCTTCTATGCCATCATCATATCAAGTGTTTCTACACCTTAGTAGAGTGTATATAAAGTGTCTATGTGGGTTAGGAGTGGGAGAGACACAAACACATATATGAAATATCTGTCAAAGTTAATGATCAGAAAAATAAAAAACTTAACAAATAATTTGCATAATTCTATTCATTTTGCTGTTTAAATCATTTATCTTACTTGGTAGCAAGTAGACACATCTGGAATTGCTAGAAGGATTAACTTGAAATCTAGCAACACAGAAAAAATATGTTCTTTAATATATTTCTTCTTACATAATACAATAAATTAAAAAAAAGGATTATTTGCATTATTTTTGAAGAAGTGCTGACAAGTTCTCAGCCTGATTCAGTTTCCAAAATCTGTGTATTATTTTGCCACTGTCACTGCAAAAAGCATCTTTTTAATTTTGTATAGTGACACTTGTCAGGATCCTTGTATGTATTTTTTAACTGTTTCAATTCATTGACTAATCCATGTCAATGGAAAGTATGGAATTTTCAAGTGTTGAAACACTGGGCCATCATGAAATTTCTCTTTTTGCAGAAGAAAACTGCAAAGGAAACCCATGATTGTATGATGAAACATTGCATGGCAATTTTTCATCATACTCAACTATTCCAACTTCCAGCATGGACATTTTGAGATCCAATGTGTTGCACAATCTGAGAGACCGTCAACAATGAAATTGTTGATCATGTTTATGGCCAAATTTTGACCAAATGAAAATCAGCCAAAAGAATTGCTGAGATATTTGAGATATTCAAGGAATATATTGGATTTATAATTCATAAGCAGTTGGGTCCGCAGGAGCTGTTGGCCAAGCAGGTAGCAAAATGCTTGAATGCTAACCAGAAATAATTTTGAGTGAACACCTCCATGTTGATTTTGCAGAATTTTCCATGATCAAGTGATAATAATTTAGAATGACTTGTCATGGCTGATGATCTGATGAAACATGGTTAAGCTATTATGATCCAGACACCAAGCAGTAATCTATGCTATAGCCAGTGCTGGATTTACATATTGCCTTATTTATGCTGCAACCCAAGGGACTTAAGACTAAAGAGTCCTTAAAGGATCTCTAGTTTTATGTTCCTGATAAAACTAAAAAATAAAGATATAAGAATGAAGGAGATTTGTTTATTTTCAAGTTTAATGGGGCTCCTTTGAATGAATTTGAAACAGTTTAAAGAATTTGGGTTCTTCTTGTTAGAATGAGTTTTTTTAAATTTGATGTGGTCCCTTGAAAGGGTCTCCATTTACATTTTGATGTATCTTGTTTATACATATAGATTTTTGATGTAGCTTTTTTACTTTTGTATAATTTTGTGTTTCATGTGTTTCATGTTTTACATCAAAAAAAGCATCATCTAAAAATATATCTATTTTTTTTATAGATATAGCATGGCCAATATATGTAATGAAGGGGTCCACAAATTCTATTAGCCCTGGGTTCTCTTAAGGCCTAAATCCAATCCAGGCTGTAGCAGTAATCAGGTTCTCCATAGCTAAGGAATTTTAAAATCCCAAGGTCATAACTGCATTTTTTTTTTTTGATAAGGAAGTTATTTTGATGACTATCTTCAGAATGACCAAATAGTTAATTCAGAAAACTAATCTAATTTGCTGTGCCAATTAAATGTGATACTGAAAGAAAAACAATAAAGAAAGCTGAAGAAAGATGTTCTCTTTTTGCAGGGCTGCCAAGATGATGATTATTTTAAAGAATGTGAGGTTTGATTGCATAGACCATCCCTACTATTGACCAGATCTAGCTCATTCTGATTGTTTCTTGTTTCTAAAACTTAAAAGGAGTTTGAAATGGAAGAACTTTTAGAATAGCAGCAGCAGAGTGGATATCAGAATATTTTTGGAAGAGTTAAAAAAACTTGAGAAGTGTCAAGTTTGTTAAACTATTGGGTGAATATGTGGAATAGCAAGTATGTCTCATGGCTTTATGTCCTTCTCTTCTTGATCAGGCAGAGAATTTTTCAGCAATCCTTTGTATATTTGAAAAAGTAGCTCATACTGAAAAAATATTCTGATACATAAAACAAATAATGTCATCCCCCAGATTAACAGGACTTCTTGGTATACAACATTAGTGTTTCCCCCACTGTTTGCCAGAATGAAAAACTTGGATCCAATCCAAGATAAACTAATGTCGAGCTAGCCATGGAAAAACATGGGAAGGTCAAGCTGAAGTGAGATTGTTCTTGTACTTTGTTAATGGTTATGTAATTGAAGTTGCTTGAATTGAAAGGGCAAATCTGTTGGAATTATGGGAATGTAGACATCTTTTTTTGGCCTACCCTAGTTAGGATAGTTGCTTCATGGTCATATGGGTGAATCTGCTTAACAATAAGGAGAGTTCCATTGTATAACCTTGGAGGCTTGAGATTTCTGTGAAGCATGATTAGCATCACTAGTTTTAGTTGAAGTCTGTAAGGAGGATCATTAGTCAGCAAGAAAGTTGAGGAATTCATTTTAGTTTTGTACAACTTCAGAAATGTCTGGAACTGGGTCAACTGAACTTTACATCTAAATCTTCCCAAGTCCTATTTTCTTTGACAGCATCATTCTTTGGAGTAAAAATGTCTCACTCATAGTGCCACAAATAGTTTCTTTAAATTATTGAAATGCCATTTTTTTTACATTTAAAACAGCTGAAAAAAAAAAAAAAAATCAAGCTTAAGTCTAATCTTAGAATTTTCAACAGAAAACATTTTTCCTGAATTGCATGTTTTATATATGAAAGAAGAAAACAAATCAATTTAATTTCTTTCTGACACTTCAGGACAATTGTTTTAAAATGACTCTAAAATTCTTGGTTCATGAATATTGATTCAAACAAAACATCAATGCATTTTAGTTTTATTAATATCATTATTATTTCTTTCCTCTTTTTTCTTCTCTCTCGTTTTTTCTGATCGTCTTCAAATGAATACTTCTTTTCAGCCAGTCTGTCATACGATAATATATCATCAGTACTTTAATTTTCTGCCTTCTAACAACTTCTTGTGTGTAGATTTTACTAATCTATAAAAGTATTATTAATAAATTTGTCTTTTATTTTGTTTTAGTCCTATTTCATGAATCAGTTTCAAATTTGTCCTAAGTCGTTAGTCTTGTACTAGTAAAAATCCAAAGCTTACATCACATTGAAACACCAGTTCTTGTATGATCACCAAAGTTAAGCAATGTTGAGCTTGGTTAGTATCTAGATGAGTGTCTATTTGGGAATACCTGGTGCTGTAAGCTTGGATATACTGGTGGTGTAATAGATAATGACTCAGAATCGAAAATTTGAGAACCAAGTTCAAATTCCAGTTGGATTCATTATATTCACTTATGTGCAAATACCCTTGGGAAAAGTATGAACCCACCTCTTCTCTCCTCCACCCTCAGCTATGGGGTAAGTAGCAGAACTTGTATCAGTAAATCTTTATTATCTCCACCTAAAATTCTTACAATCTAAAAATATTTTCTGGCTTTAAATAACCTTGTTGGTTCCAATCTGCTAGGAATTACTGCAAAACACTTTCTCCTCCCCAGTTTATGGGCAGAAGCACACAAATGCATGCTGGGAATTCTTCCTAGCCAATAGGTTGGTTCTTGATTTCATCTGACTCAGACCTGGTCTCTCTTGTCTTGAAGTTAGAATGCTACATACGCTTGTCAGAACTTGCTCTTGTGTGTCAACCCAAATTCTTAGTTTGTGAACTTTTTGCCATATTAGTGTTGCTTTGCCTTATTACTGTTAATTTAACTTGCATATATTGTTTGCTTGCTTTATATTATGTTTTTCTCTGTTCTTTTATTTTTCTTGTTATTGCGAACTTTGTTAATTTTGTTTGTTGGACAGTTCTGTCATTTATTTTACATTTAACCATGGCCACTTACTCTACAAAACTGCAAAAGGTCGATAAGCCATAAAAAAACAAATCAATCAATAGTGAAAATTCACCATATCTCAGATGGCAATTCACAATACTTGTTACAGATGTTGACTAATTTTTACCTTCTTATATCTGAGTTTATCCTTGGCTGCTTTCTTCTCATAGATTCCTTTTACGTCAGCACTTATAGTTTTCCATTTCTGACCCAACATTGTAGCAACTTCGGATGGTTTTAGGCTTGGATTCTCTTTTATTGATTTAGGACGTTCATCTTTGCAAAAAAAAAAGAAAGCTGACCTGGAAATAAAAAAAAACATAGTTATTCAAAATAAAAGAATAGACATTATACTTAATTTAAGGTTTTTGTTTCATCTCCAAATTCAAAACATTTATGTTATGCAGTCTATAGATAATAAGATATCATCTATTCAGTTTAGTCTAGGCTGGCACAAGGCCAAAATGGTGATATATTGAGTGAGGATTAAATTCATCAGCAATGGTTTACAAGATTAAATTGAAAATCATGGTTTTATAACAGGTACTTCTCGAGTGCTTTATTATGTCAAACTTGGCGAAATCTAACAAATATTTTTGATTTCATATTTTTTATTTTGTCCAAGATTAAAACACTGGTACAGTTGTTGGGATTACTGTACATTGTCTGCCATGATGTTCTCTTCAGGATTATAAAAGGGAAGGATATAAATACTCTTGCTCTCTTCTTGCTCTGAGATGTAGTAGTGACAACAACAGGACTCTTCATCTCTGGAGAGACGCTCCCTAGACACCCCCACTACTTAATTTCATCCAACCAGGTAATCATACACATGCTACAGCTAAGCACATAAATGCTTTTCTTTCCTTTGTTTGAGCTATCTGTACACATGTAAATATAATCTTTGGTTTATCTTCTTTTGTGAGCTATCTTGTTTCTTATATAAATATAAAATCCTCTACATGTTAAATTCATTTTTTTTTGAAAATGTTGAATTCATTTAATTGAAAGTGTTTTAAGTGCATCCATTAAAATGCACCACATCTCTGCCCCACAATATTCAGAAACCAAACCCAAAGTTGCCTTTATATTTAATAATCATATTAAACACCTGAAAAAAACTATTCTATATTCTTTAGAATTAATTTCTTTAAGGGCATTACACTCCAAGATAAATAGCACAACAGTGGATAAGATATCAAACAGAAGTTTTTGACATAATCCAATCTATGCAGCATGCCAAACACAGATGTGCAAGGCATCTAGTCTTTCAAGGATACAACAATTAAAACATCAGAGTGTCTCTGAATGGACATCAAGAGACAAAATCAGAATTGAAGATAAGGTAGAGTAACAAATTTTGTATGTTATATAGATTAAACATTATTGCAAGAATAGATGTCTGTGGGACAGGATATAGGAGGACTGAGAAAAGGTCTGAAGATGATATTGTTCAGAAAAGCAAAATAATTTCTTTACTGAAGTTAGAATGTCATACTATTCTGCAATTTTTATATAAGTATATTCAAAGTCCAGTCTGGTGCCATAAATTGTATATTAATTCATAGTGTTATTTAAGTTGAAACAGTTTATTGTAAGCAGATGTTTTGTTTTTTTTTAATCTGTAATCAGCTCTGATATAGAGTTGCTAGTAGACATTTAACAAATATGCATATGCCAAAATTAATAATTTCTTAATTATATAGCATTTATGATAATCTTGTTGACATATAGGGACAAAAATATTTTTTCATAAAAGAAAAAAATGAAAACTATTTTCAGATTAAATTTTAGAGATTATGTAGGAAATAAACATAACTTTTCTTTTATTTTTAATCATTTCATCCCAAGGAAGGCAATAAAACCACTAAGATGCAAGAGGTTACTGAGTGTGAATGAATAAGAGAAAAAGAAAAAACTTTATTAAGGAGCGAGAACAATAAAAGAACAAGAATTAAGAAGACATAAGCTAATAGTTGATATTGCATTTAAATTTTTGAAAATCAAAGTTGAGTGGAAAGCAAGGGGCTGGAAGAAGGTTCCACAAGCAAGAAGTGCAAGAGAAGAAACTGTTAGCATAGAACTTATGGTTAAATCTAGCCATTTAACTGTAAAATGAGGAGACCTAGCTGCCAATCTAGTACTGCATTTAATTTCATAAAGTCAAGGTACCAAAAGAAAAGAAAGTAGACCAAGCAATTGATTCAGCATAATCTTTCTGCTGAGATGAACTTCTCTTGAAGCTGCAGTATAGTTCCTAGACCTAATTCTAACAGCTAGTGGGGAAGGAGAACTGGCTTGTAACTTTTAATATTTCAAAAACCAAATTAGTGACTTTTCATCATCATCACTGAGCTGACCCTAAATTCTCATCAGTCACAATGAATAGGTTGCACTCTTAAAGAGGTTGTTATCTTTGAGCATCTACTGCGACTCATGTTCACCCCAAACCTCAAGTAGAAATCCTTGTAGCACTCCCGAAAGCACCTGATTCCTTCTACCATGCTTTATGAGAGCCAGATCGAACCAAAAATCGAGTATTGCTGCCATATCTGGGCTGGAGCTGCCCAATCCTTTCTTTCCAGCCTTGACTGAATTCAAAATAATTATTGACTGAGTTCAATAATCTACACTTACTTCCTGCTTCCCTCTCCTATATCCATACAACAACCTCATTTAGTAACCTTCTACCTTGAATGGCTCTTGGGTCTTGTATTAGATAAACATTTGGTTAAAAACAAAACAGAACTCCAATTAGAATTCCTTACACATTGATGTTACTAATTATTCTGGAATGTTATGAGTTTTTATAGAAAACCTTTTAAAACTTAGTATTTGCAATTTGTTACACTTTGATCAATACAATTATTTGGTAATTTATTACTTGAAAAAATATAAAAATTCTTTGTGGAGAATAATATCACCTGTTGCTTCAAATTAAAAGTTTAAAAATAACACATTTTCCTTTATTTCTGAAAAGTCATTTTAATTATTAAACCAAATGCTGATGCTTACAAAGATCGTTTTGGGGCATTTGGGTCCTTGACTCTTTTTCTCTTGCCTTTCTTCTGCTCCACAGGGGGAGGCATATGACTGGCCAATTCTGTTTCATACCTCATTTTCTGCTTTTTGGCCATCACTTCGAATAAATTTATTTCTTCTGGTACCATTGTCTGGAATTTAGAAAGAGAGAGAAAAAAATTAACAAAATTTTGTATTGGGATTTTTGATAAATGAAAGTAGATAAAAAAATTACAAATTCATGTTTAAAGCCTTAAAATAAAAATATTAAATGGTTAATGAATCATGCTGGATAGGTTTTATTAAATAGTTAATATCGCCCGGTTCACACCCCACCCCAGTCTTTTGAACAGTAGTAGAGGTTTATCCCTTGTTTCTGGTTTAGGATTGGGTTTCTGGTTCCTTCTAAAGTCCTCTCATTCTCTTTCATTTCCAGTAGCCTCTTGCATCTTAGTGGCATTATCATCTTGCTTGGGGTAAATTGATTAAAAAAAAATATTCCTTAAATAAAATATAACTAGTTTTAAACCAAGAAGATTTCATGGTTTTCCTATTTGAAATTTCTGATGAATCTTAATTTTTCTGTTAATGATTGAATACGCTTGGGGCAAATTCTATGACAATAAAGTATCCATAGAAATTCCCCTATCACATCATTAAATATTTTAGTTTAACAACTTTAACAAAATATTGCAATAACAATCATAACTATGAATGCTATTTTAAGAAGTAAGGGGGTACAAATGAAAAGATTTGAAACTGACAACTTTTTTCCATTTCATTGAAACAGATGTTAAACACTTCTATCTTCCGTTCTTTCTTTAATTTTCTCACTGAAATCAAGTAGGTTCTTTGATATGTCTTTCGGCTTCTCATGCAATCAAAATAGAATAGTCCATTATTTATGAGGCATTAGTAGAGTGTAACAGTCATGCAAACTAAGGGGAAGGACAAAAGAGAGGGACAAGCACAATTATTATATGATTTTATTAAAAAGTTCCAAATAGTTCATTGTTCCTTGGATGTTTAGGTAGTGTAATGGATATTGATCCAGAAAGTTGGAATCAGTGAGTTCAAATTCTTGTTAGTCTGTTGAATTCACTTTTGCCCAAATTCTCTAGGGGAAGGCATGAATCTGTCTCTTCTCTACTTCCCCAGTTATGTATTAAACAGTTGAATGTGTTGCAATTAATAGATAATAATCTCATGGGATCTGGGGAGAATCATGGCCACTTATGTCCTGAAGGGAAATGGCATTGAAAAAAAAAAAAAAAAAATTTATTCCTTAAAAAAGTAAACTGTAAGGGAGTTTGTGTATGGATTTTATAAAGAACAGTAATTTGACACTCATGGGAAATATTTACAGCAAAAAAGGCTGAGGGAAACTTGCCTCATGTGCATGTATAAATGGATGGCAGAACAGGGAGGAGGGAGGGATAGTAAAAAGACATACATTGCTAAGAGCTATGAAGGATAGGAACTTGTGATCTCTTTGAATGGCCATGGCATATAAAAAGAAATATAAAAGAGGAACAGTAAGTAAAATGTCATTCGTATCAGAAAAGCATAATGTTCACTAGAAGTAGGAGCAGCTTTTAAGTTAATAGCTACATTTTTAATCCTTGGATATTTACAATTTTTCCAGTTCTTATTGAAATCTATACAGTACCAATTGTTTTTAATGTATTAATACACCACCAGAAAACAAAAAATGAATAAATTCCATTATTCCATATTATTTTTAATGTTTTGGCCAATCAAATTTTAGCCATCTTCAGGACAGATTCATATCTGAAAATAATCTTTGTCCTTAAAAATAATCTTTTTTTTAAATCCTTTTTATTTTTAAAAAAAATTTTATCACTTCCTTAACTGGTGTAATTCCCAGGTTCAAGCCTTGTCTTCTATATATGTGTGGTCATCTGTTTTTCGATTTTGGTGAATCATAAACAACCTGAAGTAACAGGTAGTAACTATTGTAGTTACACTAGATTCAAAATTAATTAAATAACTCATTTAAAGTTAAATTTAAATATCAAACAGAGTGAAAAATTTAAAAAAACAATTCTTTATTAAAGGTTTAACTTTTAATTTTGCTTTTCATTGCAATTGATATTGTCTAACCGTAATTAAAACTTAAGTGGTCCACAGTATGTTGGTTTATATGATTTTTTTCTTTTTCTAGCACATGTACTGTGGCATATTCAAAATATTACATAGTTTGGGTTCTCTAATGTCTTTTAAGAGTGACTTTATGTGAAGGAGTCATAAAGAATAGCGATTTTAAAATAAAATAAAAATTGTGCACAAAATAAAGATCAGAGATTGGTTGCATAGATTAAGAAAGATTATGCCAAATTAAGGTGTTGAATAAAGATAAAATAATTTTATTATTTCTAAATAATTATAACTTTTAAGTACATAAGATGCTGAAGGCAAAAGGCTGAAGGCCCAAAAGACTTCCACAGGAGCTAGCCTAAAGTCCGTCTTCTAGGCTAGTTTAAAACAAAAAACAGATTATATGCATTAAAAAATTGTTATCTATGCTAATTTTTGTGTAATCTTAATTAGCACTTTTAAAATACAGCTTAGGAGGATTGTGTCACATCAAACTTCCTAAAGGGGAGGGCCTGTCTAACTTGAAAATCAGTATCTGAAATTTTGATCATCAGAGCCAGTGGAGAGGCTTGCCTCCTAAATATCAGTTAGGAAGCAAGCCTAATATTAATAATTCAGCCAGTCATTTATTTGTAAACTAACCAGGTTTGGTATTTCTTAATTTTTGTGATCAGATAAGTTGTGTATTTAATGTCATATGGCTGTAAGAATTCCCACTTTCTTATCAAGTTCTAATATGCAAAACCCTAACTACCATTCTTATTCAAGACCTTATTGTTTCTAGACATTGATTCTCATATTAACTTCTATTGAAATACTTACATCTTTTTTATTTAAACTCATGTTGATGTTCATTGATATCAAATATTTAAATAACTTGACACAGAATTCTCTTTCAAGGTCTATAATTTAATGCAAACAGTAGGAAAAGTTTATATAAATGTACAACAGATAAAAAAATGATTTTTAAAGGGTAGTTTTTATGTTTATTTCTGGTTTGATTATATACAATATAAAATAATATCTTAATTCTTTTAAATTATAAAAATAAAAAAAGAGAAATAAAAACAAGTTATGTTACTAAATTGAATATTTTTTAACAGTTTGATAATTCTTGAAGCATTTCATTCACAGTAAAGTTGTGCAATCTTTGCACCAATTTGTTACCATTTTTTTGCCTCTTTTCTCTTTGAGAAGTATGCATGCAAAGTTGACACTGTCTTTGGCTTATTCTTTCAGCTTTATTTGCAGGCAAATAATCCAGGAAATGACATAACGTCATGAATCTTAGCTAAAACAACTCTATTCAGTAACCCTCTACCTTGACTGATTCTTAGGCCTTACTTTGGATGAAAAATAGTGTAAAAAGAAATAATAATCTCAGGAATTCTAAAGTTGCCAATTAGTCACTTAAACTTGAATCATGAATAAATGATGCTTGTATCATCAGAAAAGGTTTAAATCATCAATTTATATGTGGTTGTTGATGATGCCCACTGTTTAAGTGTTAAAGACAGTTTAGACAAATTGTAAAAAAATAAATAAAATAAGAATAAATAATAATAAATTTATTATTTTTTTTCTGAAATTATTGATATAGAAATATAAAGTTGCTTTTCTTTTTATTGTAAGAAAGCAATAAAATTTCAACTTACACTCCATTTTTCTGAGCATTTGCGAGAGAACTCGGTAAAGTCTAATTTAACTCCAGGATGTTGTCGTTCATGTTCCTCTTTGCAAGCCTTGAGGAAAAAGACATATGCTGGGGAATTATCCTGAGTTTTGACATCAGCCTTCTTACCCATATAGCCTGATTAATAAACCTGAAAATGAATTAAAAAAAAATTAAATCAACAGATTATCAATTAGGGGAGGGAGGGAGAGAGAGAGAGAGAGAGAGAGAGAGAGATTCTGCATTTAGATATTTTTTTTTAATATGAATAAAATTTATTATGATTCCCTAATCAAATGGCAAATAATGATATTCAGGATATTGTTGTCACCTTACCCCTGTATTATACCAGCAAGTAATTTCAGTTACAAAGGTCATTAGATATCAACAGTTGGGCATGCATCATTTTAAGCATTTGTGATCAAGGAATTCTGACAAAACAAAATCATTTATTAAATGTTTTTCAAATGCATCTTTTGTTTGACATTCAGTGATTTTCATTAATATTTTATCATATTGCATATTTGAATAGAAATTTTCATTCATAATTTTTCTGACCAGTTTATCTGCAGCTCATATTAGAAATTCACAAAACAGTGATGTATTGGTAAAGGTTTAGATAAATCATAGCAATGACCTTGATTAAGGTTTGACTAAATACATATGGTCTTTCCTTGATAAAAAAACAATACGATGGTATGAAAGAGCCCAAATAATATTTGTTGCATTGGCTTTATTTTCATCAGCTTACCCAGGCATGAAAGCTAAGGCAATTTTCAGTCAATTCCTACTTAAGTGAATGCATATATGTAACAAATAGAAAAAAGTCTTATAAATTTAATGTTTCATTATTTAGTTAGCTGAAAGTGAAAATATCTGATGAAATGAAATAAAGTGTATCATTTTAAATTTATATAGATTTTTTTACTTGCTTATTTCAGTATTATGTCAGATTTAAATCATATTTTCAATTCGTATCTCTCTTTTCTCATATATATATATATATATATATATATAAAGTGGCAATCTGTTTCATGCTTGAACACAATTTTTAGCCCTAAGCATGAAACAGACTGCCACTGCTTGGTGTTGTCCTCAATTTGGATTGAGGAATTGGAGAGCTGAGTTTGAATTCCAGTTGAGTTAATTACATTTCTTGGGGAAAGTATGCGTCCAACTCTTCTCTCTCCAGCTATGGCTAAATAGAAGGACAGACTGGGTTCTATAGCCTTGGGTGGCAACCAGACTAGGAGAAGGAAATTTCTGCTATTCAAAACTGTATGTAGCCCTGGTATAGCATGTACTATGCAGCTAAGGAAATGATCATTCACATTGCCTTGGTGATCCCAAGTATGGTCTACTTCTTCCTTTTATAGCATACCATAGAAGTATGTATGTAGTAATAATAAAAGACATTTTACATCTCACAAATCACACTGACCATTAAATTACTGGACGGTAATGTGTTTTCATGGCAAGCAGATTTGATTTTCACAATATAAAAAAATAGAACATCAATAATAAATAGGTAAATAAGAAGTTCAATGACACACATATACATACATACATTATATATATATATATATATATATATATATATATATGTCATCTCATAAGTAATGTTCAAAATCTTATAGTGATAGAATGATATTTTCATTCTTCTAAAATGTCTACAGAATAACAATACATGTTAGTATGAATCCATTTTTTTTTTTAAAGTCAAGTATGATTCAACTAACTTGGTTACTAACTTGACCCTTCCAAAAACAGATATGACAACTGAATACATAAGCTGTATGATGCTCTTTGTTTAGAAAAAAACAATAATGCTGCAGAAGCAATCTGAAATATTCATGGTGCTTATGGGGAAAAGTCTAAAAAGAAAAAAAAAACTGCTAGAGAAAGTCTGAAAGATTTAGAAAAGGTGAGTTTAGCTTAACAAATGTGACATGAACAGGTCATCTTGTTGAGTTTAATGATGATCTTATTATGCCTCAACTGTAACAATTAAAGAATTATTTGTAAAACTTAATTCAAACCATTCACCGTCATCTTCAAATATTTAGAAAGGTGCCTTAACTTGAAAAATGGCTTCCTCAGAAGGCAGCTGTGAAGAGAGAGTTGACGTCTGCACTCTTGTGAATATATCTCACTAGTTTTGGACAGATCAGTGACTGGTGATGAAAAATGGATATTTTTACAAGAACATAAAGCAATACAGACAATTGTATCCAAGGAAGATTTTCATATACAGTTACTTGAATTGTGTAGGTGTGGTCCATTCTGAGTTGCTCCCAGACAATGTAATGATTACAGCAGCTACTAATTATCAGCATTTAAACATTGCTTTAAAGAAAAAGAGATCCAGTTTGATCAGTCACAAAGTCATGATGTTGCATCAATATATGAAAGGGTACAGAAAAATTATTTTAGATTTGGTTGTTTGCTTAGATTTTGGGAAGTAGAGTGGGTTGAAAAACTTTTAGTACCCCCTTGTACAGCAATGATCTGATCAGAAAAACATTGAAAACCTCAGATAGGAAAAAGACATTTGGAAAGCACAATATAAAATCATGAAGGGGCCTCAAAGTTCTATTAGCCCAGGGGCCTCTTAAGGCCTAAATCCAGCCCTAGTTCCAAGTCTGATAATCTATCCTCCACAATTCTAGATTTTGGTTAGATTTATTAAATAGGTATTCATGAGTTTGGATAACAAAGTAATGACACAACAAAGCACTTATGATCCACTTATACACCCATCATGTTTGGGACACCACAAGGCTGTGTAATGGTTAGCAAGCTTGTCTCACTAGAACAATTATGACTGAGCAGTGAGTTTGATCCTCACTGGGTGCCCCATCTAAGCTATGCTTGGAAAATCATTATACACTCATCATGTTTTAAACTTTATGAATTGTTACAACCATAAAGAAATAATAAATGTGAATAAAATATTTTAATTAAATTTTGTGCTATTTAAAAGGTTAGATTACTTGTCTTGTACCAAAATTATCTTTACTTAATTCTATGAAATAAAATACCAACATCTGTGTAGAGGAGATTTCTTTTAGTATTGAGAAATATCAAACAAACAAGACAGCAAATGAAACAGGTTGTATTCTTACATGTATACCCTGAGGTTTCGATATTGTTAATCCTACAAGGGGGTACTGAAAAGTTCTTTACCCAATCAAAAAAAAAAATTCTGATGGTTGTCATTTAGGTTGAGGCGGGAACTTTCCAGAATGCTCTAATATTTACTAACCATTTAGACATTTACTGAACACAAAATATCTAGTGTGATGGAGTTATTGAATTTTCAAACTATATGACAAATTAATCCTGTTTTCTAACCAACAAAAATTGCTTCAACTTCCTATTATCTTCCATTTTTGGCAATCGCCAAAAAAAAATAAAACAAAAACAAAAAACTACTCTTTTACAAATGTTAGAGCTGAACTACCAACAATATTGATTCACAATCTTATGATTCAACACTCCAATACACACCAAACTGAAGAGGCATAAACATCTACATAACACAAGAACTGCTTTATTGCAGATATGGTAATGTCATTATACCTAAGAGTATAGTTAACAATTAAATACTGAAAATAGTCAAGAATTAAATCAATGAATTTAGTTTAGCTAGAATGTTTAACAGAAAAGATAGATTGACCTAAGTTTATTAGTTACTTATTTACAGTCTGTGTATATGTAGATATGGTAATTGTTACATCTTACACAGGTGAGAGCCACCGCCACACTCTTCACATCACATGTAATGGCTTTCATCTTGCTTCGGTGTCCATGGCCCCTAAGATAACTCTTGAAACCAGCATTTGATATCTGTTATATATGCATGATACCTAAGAAATTGAATGCTGATATTTATATAGAGAAAAATTAAAATAATCAAATATTTATTCCTCTAAAGTGGAAGATTTTTTACATGTAAATATCCTAATTTCAAATTTTCATTTTTAGTAAAGGTTTAAAATTATACCAATAATATTGAGGATTATTAAGTATTTTTAACAGACATAGAGTTACAGCACTTGTTAAATAGCAGGTATTTAATCATGTACTATTCTTCAGTATAATCTTTTCTAATAATATCCAAAATGTCTAACTTAAATATTTTCTGCTTTTATCTACCCAAAACCAGGGATCGTATAAAAGAATTTATATTATTCATTTGACAAGGTTTTGAGAGATTGTAAATTATTATTTAAGTCAATCCAAATTGACATTTTTCCCCCATCACATTTTTATAAATCTTTTAAAATCCTTTTCTAGCTAATATTTTCAAGCTGATCAACATAATGCAATAATTATTATATATCAATTTATTCAGACTAGTTTTCATGGATGCTATTGTCATATTTCAGTCATTGTACCCTTCAAGGCTGTCATAAGCAGACTGCTTAAAAAAACAAAAACAATGCAAGATGTTTATTCATTGATTTTAAGAGAAGAAAATAGAACATATTCATGTATTGATGAGATAAAGACATTCATTTTTTGTATCGTGTATATGTAAATTTCCTTTTTATACAAATGTAGTCTTGCCAATACAAATGCTTTTTCAGTTAATAGCCAACAAATAATCCAAGCTTAAAATTTATTTTAAATAAGTTAAGAAAAGCAGTAAACACAGTTTATGTCTCAATCATCTACACTTGTTGATGACCCAATGCTGCAGACATTTTTAATTTAGTCTAGTCACCTGAATTTACTACAAATTCCTTAACTACAATTGGGAACAATTTCCTTACAATTTCAGTCTTGGTGATTTGTGTAATACAATGTTTTCTTTACTAAAAATGTGTCTGAATTTCTGGGATGAGGAGCTATCATTATTTACACTCTGACTATTGTGCTCATCATTATGTTTTAGCTGTTGTGCCCTCTGGTTTTCATCAGGTACTTGTCAATCTAAGTAACCTTTAATTTTAAGGAAATTTTAAACTGAACCCTTTATTTAATCTACAGGGGTAGAATATTCTTGTTTCACTTACCACAACTAGGGATATCACATTTAGTATAGCTCAGTTATTGTTTGCCTTGTTTCTATTGAGTCTAAGTTTGCACTACCCAGCCCAGGGATGGAACTCACAATTACTGTCACTAAATTCACAAATCAAAGCT